TGAGTCAGGGCTGCAATCTCATCTGGAGCTCAGGATCCTCTTCCAAGTTCATTCACATTGTTGGCAGGATTCAGTTCCTTGTGATTGTATACTCAGGTCCCAACTTGCTTATTGGCTATCAGTGAGGGATAGCTCTAAGCAACTCAAAGCTGCCTGCAATTCTCTGTCACATGGCCCTTTCTAAAATGTGAGAGTCTGTTTCTTCAAGGTCAACAGCAGAACATCTGCTATAGCTTTGAATTTCTCTAACTTCTATATCTGACTTCCAGACATCTTTTAAAGGTGCTCACCTGATTGCCTTAGGACCAAACATTCAAGGGGAGGAGCTTTTGATCAGATGTCATAAATCATGAGGTAGGAATCCTAGAGGCCATCTTAAAATTCTGCCTAACTTATGCAATTAGAGCATGAGCTTCCTAATGATAAAAATTTATGCAGAGACAATAAAACACCTTGAATACAGAGAAATGAAAAAACTATATATCCTCAGATCATCTGCAAATATCACTTTTTGCCTGGTATCTTTTGATAAAACTGGACAACAGTTTGAAATTATAATCTCAGGTAAAAGTTTGGAGCCCAATTTTCTAATTAAAATTTAATTATTGTGAAGAACTTGTTATAGAGTTTGCTTTGGTTGGTGTATCCCAAAGTGAAGTGAACCTATTAACTACCTCCATCATTTCACAGTACCAAGGACCAAGCACCCCCATAGATCCCTCAAGCCATTTAGGATATAGAAAATGGAAGAAGGGAAGGGGAGATGGCCACCGAGAAAAAGCATAGTTATCAACATAATTTCTAGAAGAGTCCAAGCCAACTACCAATATTAAATAAGACTTTCAAACCTGTTTTCTCATATGATTCTGAAGAAAGCTACTAAATTTTTTTTAAAACAGTAACAAATTCTTTATAGCCAAACATGACTGAACTACAATAATGATAAAGTAATAACAATGGACATGGACATTACTAAAATATGATAAAGTACTGACAATGGGCATGGGCATTACTAAAATTTGAATTAGAAGTCAGAAAACAAGCATATGGTAGGAAAATGTCAGGGATAAAATTGTGGTATAAAAGGCAAGAGACTTGGAAAACGTATTTTTTTCTAGGATATATGATAGCAGGTTGTACCAGAGACTAGCTAACTAATCAACAAACTCCTTTCCTCTTCCTCCTGGTCACAAAGTTAAGACTATATTTAAAAGCCTCACTTAACCATGTGTAAGCAATGGTCAAAGTAATATTAGTAGAAATAATGTTTAACTTACAAACCTAGTCCATAAAACACCTCTAGGCATTATTTACTCTTTTCTCTACTTCTATAACCCTGGAAATCACATGTTGAGGTGGTAGAGCCCTTCTATATCCCTTTTAACAATCACTTGTAGAAGAGCCAACCCAGAGGAATATGTTTTTGGACTTTATGTGAGCAAAAAATAAACACCTATGGTGATATTCTAGAGCTGAATCATAATAGCTGGCAGCATTATTTAAGAAAAATAGAAACTGGTGGTGGAAGAATGGTGCTGCCATAACAACAAAAGCTAAATAAATATCACTGGTGTAGCAGGCAGGCAGCAGGCAGCATGAATATGTATTTAACAGGCAGAAGTCGGAAGCGTCCCGTAACACTGGCTAATCATTGGTAAAACTGAAATCTATAATAAATCAAAAAGCACACCTGCTGAGCTTATAGTAAGGTACATACAGGCATTTACTTTCTGCTTTTATCAAGACACTACATAAAAGGCATGAGCAGAAAAGAGTTTCCTAACTTGCAAACTGAAATAATAGGGAATAGAAGAAATCCAAAAATGTAGGCCTTGAAGCCCAGGATAACAATAAGCGAAAGAGTTCCTTCTAGAGAGTGACCATCTAAGCAAGGACGTTCCGCTACTACCCAGGCAGCAGGATTTCGTAATGCCTGCCCAAAAGAATTAGATAACAGGCTATAGAGCAAGAAATACTCTGTATCTCCCATTCTTCCCTTTTTTAAATGAAGTTTTGTTTGCAGCTATTCTAATTCTAGTTTCTTCATAGTACATTGTGATATGGAGAGGGTGGGGGATGACACAGGTGCAGACAATTTGTTGTATTAATTTCTGATCAGCAGTCCATGAAAACACATACATGGGTTGGATGAAGAGTGCTCAAGATACTAAACTTTTGAGATGTATGACTAGATGGGAAAATGAGTTGCCTCCCTTCAGAAAGGAGCAAGTGTGTTCTATGTATGAGAAGAAGAGTTGAAAGATATTTGATAACCAGAAGGGTAGACTGTGTCAGAGACTATTCACAAAGCCTGTTTCTTTCTCCTCCTAGGAACAGAGTAAGGTTCCACTTCCCAGTCTCTCCTGTAGGTTGGTAGGGCCATGTTACTAAGTTCTGACCAGTAATATGTGAGTAGAGTTAATAACATGCCATGTCCATACCTAGCCCTTAAAAATCTTCCCAAATGCAATAATCTTTGGTCTGTCACCCTGTACAACAAAATTCCAGGCTATATTAAAGATAGCAGAGTCACAGAATGAAAAAATCCTAATCATCATTGTAAAGAAAACCATCACAAGTCAGAAACACCATTTTGGACTTAACCTAAGTGAAAAACTATTCCTCTCCTTCTTTACCAAGATACATGAATTCCAACAAATATTTGTTCAACACCTTCTATGTATAACACACATTCTAGTTTCTCTCCCTCCTACCTTCCTCATATTTTTGATACTACAGAAGACTTTTAAAGGTGTAAGTACCTTTATTTTATATGAGGAATTTTTCTAAGGATCTTATATATATGAAATCACAAGATAATACATAAAATAAGAGTTACAGTTGAAATGAAAATTTAAATAGGAGGAATGAAGGGTTATCAGCTAATTAAGGCCCAAATTCACAAAGATTTCTTCACTATGTTTTTATATGACAAAAAGATGGCTTGTGCCTCCCTGGTGGTGCAAGGGGTTAAGTCTCAGCACTATGAAGCTATCAACAGCCACTACAGCTCGAGTTTGATCCCAGGCCAGGGAGCTAAACCACATGATGCAGCAGACCTCTCCTGACTCGCCCGCTGCTCCCCTCAGCAGTGTACTTCAGTTGATCTGCCTGTTCTGTTCCCTGCTCTGTCTCTGGTGAATCCTCTCACCCCACATACCGCTGGCCTGTATCCCAGCTCTTGTATGCATAAATAAATTTAAAAAGAAACAGATAGCAAACACTTAATAACGTAAATAGATTAATTGCAAAATAATAGATAGTCACCTCAATCTAACCTGAATTCTACCTGACCTTTAAATGTAGTCTGAACTTAAACAAGTCACTCCCCACTGTGGCCTTAATTTCCTCAGATAATTAAGAAGTGAGGCCAGATAGTCTCACATTAAATAAAACAATAACATAGTTCATAGAACCCTCTTTTTCACCAAAAAGGAAATAAAGTTAATTTCTCAAGTAGAGGCCTAGAAAAAACAACTTTAAAAAAGGAAACATCACTGAGGCTTTGTACTATAATCTCCTACATTTTGAAAGTTTAGGAAAAATTAGTCAACCATAAGACATATCTTACAAGATATCTTCATTCCTGTATTTAAAACATAAACCTAACTATACAAAGGTATACTTTCAAGATTAATTTTGTTTCTTCACTACAAAAAAAAAACCATGATTATCACTATCAAGTTTATAATCAACTAGTTTTAAATTTTTTATTTTATAAAGTATAATGCAATCAAAATTAGAAAGAAGAAAGGGGAAAATATCTGCCTTCCCTTCGGAAAAGGTTACTAGTTTATCTCTTTTGCAGAATAAAACAGACATCTAAAAGAAGAATATCAAAGTTAAATGAGACTAGAAATATGACACAAAATATGACCTATTCCCTTCTGCCTCACAAAGTTAAGAACTACAAATGACTTATTCAAGAACACAGTTGTTTATAAAACCAAAATAAAAAAACATTTTCCATAAACAACTGAATCTTCTATTTATTGTTGTAGGCTACATCATAAGGTATACTAAGATATTTTAATAAAACCAATGTGACTTAAATTTCAAAAGAACAAGTAGCACTGCAAATCATACTGCTCTTATTATTTACAGTGACAAAAGAAATCCAAATGTTCTTTGTGGCTTCAGTGACTTAGAGAAGAAGATACTAAAAGAAAATAATCTAAATACTGCTAACATAATTATTGATATATAAGCTGCAAATGAATTCCTTTTTGTGATCATAATTTATAACACTTCCCAAAAGGCCTTTTTTCATTGACACCCAATAATATCAAATAACAATTACAAAAATATTCATCTGTAACATGACATCTTGCTTGCACAGTAAAAAGTCAAGCCAATATACCTAAAGCCCAATTTAGATCAATAATTTAAAAGAGAACTTTCTTAAATCTTGGGCTTTAAATCATATCCAAATCAAAGAAAGTAATCAAAAAATAAGAAAAACTTCCTCAAAATTCCAATATAAACTATCACGGTAGAGGGCCTCCCCGGTGGCACAGTGGTTGAGCGCTGGATTGTGAAGCTGCCCACGGCCTCTGCAGCGCAGGTTCGATCCCCGGCTGCTCCCAGGCCACCGGAGGAGGGTCCCACATGGCACGCAGACCTCTCCTGCCGCCCGCTGCTCCCCTCAGCAGTGTACTTTGGTCCTTCTGCCTGCTCTGCTCCCCGCTCTGGCTCTGGTGAATTCTCTCACCCTCCCGAGCTTCTGACTGTACACAGTGCTTCTATAAATAAATAAATAAATAAATCTTTAAACTATCACGGTAGATCAGTATTTACTGACCACCGACAGCAAAACAATATACTAGAAATAATTTATTGTTCTGTTAAGAAAATAAAACATATTATTTAATCATGCATTTGCATAAAGATGGACTTTCCTAAATGACAAGAAAAAAGTAAGACACTTAGCAAAAAGAAACCTGTGTTTAATAGAATACCTGCAAAGTAATTGGCAAACCTATCATAAACCCAAGACCTACTTGCTTCATGGCAGTCTCTCCAATTTTGTCTGAATGTTTGCGGATACTCTCCAGAAAGTCCTTCAGATCTGACATAGAAACATCCTTAATTTCTTCTCGAAGCTTTGGGATGTTGTCCACCATCACCTTGCAGAACCGATAGTGGCTAACTTGAGGCAGATAGGTATGCTCTAGATGTTCCAGAGTTTTCAGTGCAGGATAATGCCTATAAAAGGAATTGTATCACCTTTAGCTAAATTCAGTCTTCTTTATGGTCACAGATATATATAGATAGATAGATAGATAGATAGATAGATAGATAGATAGATAGATAGATAGATATAGATATATAGATATAGATACAGATATAGATATACACCTTAGGCAAAATTTCTAGCTTGAATTAGTTGTCAGTGTACATTAAGACAAATTCTATATTAAGTTTTAGTAAAAACATCTATGGAAAAATACTCAGTTATCAAAAATCAACATGCATTGAAGCTTAGAAAATAATAATCAAAAAAGATTTTATGCCAAGAAAACAGAAAACCCAGAAAATCTTCCAGTGAAATGCATTACATAATAAATAAAAGGAAATTAAAAATGATTACTTCCATTCAAAATAAATAAATAAACCATACTATAAAATGAAGTAGCAAAGGCTGGACTAACAACTATGGCACAGGGAGAGCTTAGAAAATCTTCTAACGAAAAAACAAAACTACATAAAACTATCCAAAACAACCATTTCAGGGCTCTGTTCTCAAAGGAGAACAACAAATTGAGAAGTGTTTACTCAAGAAAAATGCTGAACAGTGGTACTCTGCGGTGTTCTTGCCCACAGCTACCTCCACCCGCCTCTCCCCCTCTATCATCCCCCTCCCTCATGGGTTATGACTTGTCATGAGAATCAGCAGCTCCTTGCCATGAGGGCTGACATGATTTGGAGCAGTGGGCAAAAAAAAAAATCTGTACTGAGTGGCGGTGTTAGTAAAAGCTGCAAACTCGATTTAAAAAAAAATAGGGAAAGCTTCTAGTTTTACTAGCCTTAAGTTAGTTTGGGGTTGGGACAAAGTGCAAATTGGAGAACTAGCCAGAAGTTTAACAACGAAGTCCTAGAAATAAGAGGTCCATAAAATGGCCTGATCGGGCTCTGCATACTAGTGCACGCACATGCACGCCCACACGCACACAAGGTCAGGTACATTAAAAACTACCTGAATTTTTTTTTTTTTGAACAAAGCCATGGCTTGTGGGGGTTTTTTTATAATTAACTAATTTTTTTTTTTATTTTTTACATCACTGTTCATTTTTAAACATTATTTGCTTCCCCCCACCCTCTCAAGTGTAGTCCCCATAGAGTTTCCTTCACCAATGCATCCGTGCACCATCACCTCAGTTCCCTGTGCTTCTCCCTTCCTCCCTCTGATCCCTCTCCCGCCTCCTCCTCTGCAGTATGTCTCTGATTTATAATTGTCTGTTTTTGCTTTGTTGTGTTTTGTACTGTTATTACTTTTTTACACTGATATCTTATTTGGTTACCCTATTTTCCTGCTATAAGTGAAACCATATGATATTTTTTTTTTCCTTCTGGCTCATTTCACTGAACATAATTCCTTCTAGCTCCATCACATTGCTGTGAATGGCATGAGTTTATCTTTTTTGATTGCTGAATAATATTCCATTGTGTATATATAACATATCTTCTTGATCCAGTCATCTATTTTTGGGCATTTGGGTTGTTTCCAGGTTTTACCTATTGTAAATAGTGCTGCAATAAACATGGGGTACAGGTGATCTTTTGAATCAATGCTTTTATGTCCTTTGGGTAGATCTCTAGGAGTGGAATTGCCGGGTCATATGGTAGCTCCATTTTTAGTAGACTCAGGAACCTCCAGGCAGCTTTCCATAGTGGTTGACCAGTTTGCACTCCCACCAGCAATGTAGGAGAGTTCCTTTTCCACCATATCCTTGCCAACATTTGTTGTTGATTGTTCCCTGATGATAAGGGATGTTGAACATTTTTTCATATGCTTGTTGGCCATTTGCATTTCCTCTTTGAGTTCTTCTGCCCATCTTCACTGGATTGTTTATGTTTTTTTTGTTGAGTCCTGTGAGTTCTTTGTATATCTTTGTGATCAGTCCCTTATCAGTTGACTGGAGTGCAAAGGTTTTGTTCCCAATCAATAGGGTGTCTCTCTGTTCTGGTTAATGTCTCTTTTGCTGTAAAAAACTGCCTGAATTTTTAATGCACTCCCTAACCCACACAAATTGCTCAGATTTGTTTAAACACAACTCTAATCAAACACTACCTGATGATTATCCTTTAAAAATGAAAATGACAAACACTCCTGGGCAAATACTGAGAGAATTCCTTGTTAGCAGCTCTGCCTTAAAAAAATATTAAAGTAGGCCCTCCCCTGGTGGCGCAGTGGTTGAGCGCTGGACTGTGAAGCTGCCTGCAGCCTCTGCAGTGCCGGTTCGATCCCCAGCCACCAGCGAGGGTCCCACATGGCGCAACAGACCTCTCCTGTCATGCCCGCTGCTCCCCTCAGCAGTGTATTTCGTCAGTCTGCCTGTTCTATTCCCTGCTCTGGCTCTGATGAATTCTCTCACCCTCCCGCACTTCTGACTATACCCAGTGCTTGTATAAATAAATAAATAAATCTTAAAAAAAAATATATTAAAGTAAATCAGAAAGGAAACAACAGCAGACAGAAACCTGAATTTACAAAAAGAAATAAGAAGTACAGGAAATGGTAAATATATGCTAAATTTAAAAAATCAGTATTTCTCTCTTTAAATTTTGTTAAAATATAGTTTCTTAAAAGCAATAATCATAACACTGAATTGTTGTGTTTATGAAACATATAGATCTATATGTGATAATAACAGCACAAAAACAGAGTTAAATTGAGGCAAAGTGCTACTATATATTACACCAAAATTGCACCAGCAGTGACCTAAAGGAGATTATGGTAAGTGAAGATTATAATCCATAGAGCCACTTCTAAGAAAATAACTGGAAAATGTATCATTAAAGCAATTAACAGGAAAATTTTAAAATAGTACACTGTAAAATATTTAACACAAAAAAGATAAGAAAAAAAAACAAAAAGACATGAAAAACATAGAAAACAAATAGCAAAATCCAGCCATGTAATGATTACATTAAATGCCTAAAAAGAGTTCCAAAGGGCAGACATTATCAGACAAAACATAGAAAAGCATGATCAGACTACTACATATTGTCTAGAATAAACACACTTCAAATTCAAAAATACAAATAAGTTAAAGATGGAATAATATATACCATGCAAAAAGGAACGATAAAAGTGGTGGAATAGCTATATTAATATCAGATACATTCTAAGAAAACAAATATTGCCGGTAACAGCAAAGGAACATTTTATAATAAAAAGGATAATATTTATGTAATAGATAGGAAAGTCCTGTAAATCTAAGGTTGGTAAGGCTGAGTAGGTAAAAACAAAGTAAGCTATGCATAAAAAGAACATAAAAATAGAGAGGAAACAATAACTGGTAAAGATCACCCACAACATATAATTTTATTTTTAAAAAAGGAATGAATAAAGAAAAGTCATAGGAATTTACATAATAAATATGATTTTTTTTAAAGTCACAAAAACAGGTCAACATGTGGGGAAAATTGAAGTGATACATAAATGTAAATCAAAAACAAATTTTTTATTGAAAATGCAAAAAATTTTTATCTTGAATTGGCTAGTATGTATGTCTGCATGTCTGCCTCATCGTTCCAGGCTACTGATTCTGTCCTACCTACATGAGTACCATGTTGTCACAACTTGTCTCTCTACCTCCATTTCTGCTCCATACCCCTTCAGTTTCCCACTTGGCAGCTGAAGAGAACTTCTAAAAATGTAAATCTGACCAAAAATATTTCCCTGCTTAAACATTTTAGTGTCTTCCTATTGCTTTTAGAAAATAATCTATATCCTGATCTTGGCTTAAAAGGTGTCCTGACAGGGCCTCCCCGGTGGCGCAGCGGTTGAGCGCTGGGTTGCGAAGCTTCCCACGGCCTCTGTGGCGCCAGTTCCATCCCTGGCTGCTCCCCAGCCACCGGAGGAGGGTCCCACATGGCGCGCAGATCTCTCCTGCCGCCCGCTGCTCCCCTCAGCAGTGTACTTCAGTCCTTCTGCCTGCTCTGCTCCCCGCTCTGGCTCTGGTGAATTCTCTCACCCTCCTGCGCTTCTGACTGTACCCAGTGCATGTATAAACAAACAAACAAATAAATAAATACATGCCTCTTTTAAAAAAAAAAAAAAAAGGTGTCCTGACACCCTGCATAATTATTAAAAGTACCCTTTTAATTTTCAAGTGTTCAAGTTTCAGCAATACATACTCTAGTTACTCTAATAATACATAATCTAGTCACTCTAATAACAAAGATATATTTATAATATTTATAATAATAATTCTGCTGACTTAAAGTTATGTTCATAAAGAAATTGTCCAACATACCCCCTAAAAGAGCATTTATTTTTAATTGTTTATTAGAGGATCTCTCTGTGGTCTTTACAGACCATATCAGAATTTATGATCACTTATTTGTTTATATTTGTTATTATCTATTCAAGGAAATAAATTAATTTCTAATTAACCTTATTATTCACCAAGACAGGTGCCTTGCTTCTGCTGTTTTGTGCTACATCATTAGGACTTACATGACGTCTAACAGTTGACACGTGCTTAAAGTTTGTACAATGAAATAAAAAATACCATTTACAAATATAATCATAATATTTTTCAAAATTATAAATATGTACACATGTATAAATTATGAATATATTGCAATATATAGTGCATGTCTGAACTATATATCACTGAATACATACACATACTTAACTCACATAAAAATGACTAGAAAAAATACACAAAAATGTTAACCAGGATCTTTTTCCCCCTTGGATAGCAACATTATGGGTGATAATTTTCTTCTTTATATTTTTAATTGCCATATTTCTCATGATACATTTAGTACAAGAAAAACTCAGTTTTAATCCTCTAAGTAAAAAAGACCAACTTAGATTTTAAGAATGAATTTCACCATAGGTACTTAAGTGTGTGTTGTTCCAATGCACTTAGTACCATAAACATTAATTTACTTGCTTTATTTCTTTTGGTTTTTTCCCTCATGTGTTCCAAAATTCAAAATCTTATTGCAAATGAATGAAAGAAAGAAAG